CACAACACAACACAACACAACACACCAACATAACACACCCATACATCACACCAACACACCAAATCAACACACCACACCACTAAATCAACCAACACATCACACCAGCAGACCACGCCCATACACCACACCCATACATCACACCAACACAACACACCCATACACCACACCCATACACCACACCAACACACCAACACAACACACCCATACACCACACCCATACACCACACCAACACACAACACCAACACACCACACCAACACACCCATACACCACACCCATACACCACACCAACACACCACACCAACACACCACACCCATACACCACACCAACACACCACACCAACACACCAACACAACACACCCATACACCACACCCATACATCACACCAACACAACACACCCATACACCACACCCATACACCACACCAACACATCACACCAACACAACACACCCATACACCACACCCATACACCACACCAACACACCAACACATCACACCAACAGACCACACCCATACACCACACCCATACAACACACCAACACACCACACCAACACACCAACACAACACACCCATACACCACACCCATACACCACACCAACACACCAACACATCACACCAACAGACCACACCCATACACCACACCCATACAACACACCAACACACCACACCAACACACCAACACAACACACCCATACACCACACCCATACACCACACCAACACACCAACACATCACACCAACAGACCACACCCATACACCACACCCATACAACACACCAACACACCACACCAACACACCAACACAACACACCCATACACCACACCCATACACCACACCAACACACCAACACATCACACCAACAGACCACACCCATACACCACACCCATACAACACACCAACACACCACACCAACACACCAACACAACACACCCATACACCACACCCATACACCACACCAACACACCAACACATCACACCAACAGACCACACCCATACACCACACCCATACAACACACCAACACACCACACCAACACACCAACACAACACACCCATACACCACACCAACACACCAACACATCACACCAACAGACCACACCCATACACCACACCCATACAACACACCAACACACCACACCAACACACCAACACAACACACCCATACACCACACCCATACACCACACCAACACACCAACACATCACACCAACAGACCACACCCATACAACACACCAACACATCACACCAACACATCACACCAACACAACACACCCATACACCACACCAACACATCACACCAACACACCACACCCATACGACACATCCATACACCACATCATCACACCACACCATCACACCATACCTACAACGCACCGCTTTCCTCACCACACCAACACAACACACCCATACACCACACCCATACACCACACCAACACATCACACCAACACAACACACCCATACACCACACCCATACACCACACCAACACACCAACACATCACACCAACAGACCACACCCATACACCACACCCATACAACACACCAACACACCACACCAACACACCAACACAACACACCCATACACCACACCCATACACCACACCAACACACCAACACATCACACCAACAGACCACACCCATACACCACACCCATACAACACACCAACACACCACACCAACACACCAACACAACACACCCATACACCACACCCATACACCACACCAACACACCAACACATCACACCAACAGACCACACCCATACACCACACCCATACAACACACCAACACACCACACCAACACACCAACACAACACACCCATACACCACACCCATACACCACACCAACACACCAACACATCACACCAACAGACCACACCCATACACCACACCCATACAACACACCAACACACCACACCAACACACCAACACAACACACCCATACACCACACCCATACACCACACCAACACACCAACACATCACACCAACAGACCACACCCATACACCACACCCATACAACACACCAACACACCACACCAACACACCAACACAACACACCCATACACCACACCAACACACCAACACATCACACCAACAGACCACACCCATACACCACACCCATACAACACACCAACACACCACACCAACACACCAACACAACACACCCATACACCACACCCATACACCACACCAACACACCAACACATCACACCAACAGACCACACCCATACAACACACCAACACATCACACCAACACATCACACCAACACAACACACCCATACACCACACCAACACATCACACCAACACACCACACCCATACGACACATCCATACACCACATCATCACACCACACCATCACACCATACCTACAACGCACCGCTTTCCTCACCACACCAACGCATGATCCATTGAGATTTATACTGAGCCAAAGGACATGTTGACATTTCTTTCATTCAACGCATGATGATGAATATTGTCGTATCTGCTTGACTACCAAATATTATTCAGGTATGACTATGTATGTACTGGTTAAGGGTAATTAAACTTCCCTGACCAACACAACAGACCTACACACCAAAATCATAAGCATGTGTTTGCGAATCACTATCAATAAGTGAAACCCGGTACATGATGCAGTTTGTATCCGGAATCTGAAACACTTTAAAAAGGCATGTGTGACTCAGAGACTATAATACACGGAAACTGTACTGCATACAAAATGTAACAGGCAGTGAAATAAACTCACTGACATGTCCAAATGTCTTCTTATGTATACATAAATAGGGTATTACTATTGCCAAATACAGAGCAATATGAAAAACCGCAACATGTTTCAAACAGCTGTATTTAAATATCACTGAATTCGTGTATATGTTGCTTGACTGGAAGTGCATTCCGTTATATGAACTGTGAATAGCTTTTAGCTAGATTACACCTTCAACTCTGGTGTTGAAGTAACCAAAGGGAATCTGACACCGGTAGATACGTAACCAAGAACAAAACATCTATGTGCGTCCTGTCCATGTTAGCTACTTGTGTGGTCATTCACTGACCACCCATAGAGGCCAGTGTGAGATATACGGTTCAATGTATGTATTGTAAGATAAATACTGACCACCCAGTCTGCTTCAGACAGATCAGTGTGAGATATTTGGTTCAGTGTCTACATTGTGACATATATCATTCACTGACCACTCAGTTAGCTTCAGAGAAGCCAGTCTGAGATATACGGTTCAATGTATGTATTGTAAGATAAATACTGACCACTCAGTTAGCTTCAGACAGGTGAGTGTGAGATATACGGTTCAATGTATGTATTGTAAGATAAATACTGACCACTCAGTAAGCTTCAGACAGGTGAGTGTGAGATATACGGTTCAATGTCCTAATTGTGCGATATACCATTCATTCACTACAATAAATGCTATATGGTTCATTGTCTACGTTGTAAGGTATATCATTGATTGACTATAATAAAAGATATATAGTTTTATGTCTAAAATGTATAAAATGATGTATGGTTCACTGTCTACATTGTAAAATCTATACTCCACTGACAACATTGTAAGATATATGGTTCACTGTCTACTTTGTAAGATCTATACACCACTGACAACATTGTAAGATATATGCTCCACTGACAACAGTGTTAGATATATGACCCATTGCCAACAGTGTTAGATATTTGACCCATTACCAACATTGTAAAATACATGGTGCCCTGACAACAGTGTAAGATATATGCTCCAATGGCAACATTGTAAGATATATGCTCCACTGACAACAGTGTTAGATATATGACCCATTGCCAACCCATATGTGTAAGACATATCATCCACTCTCTACAGTGTAAGACATATGACCCCTCTCTGCAGTGTAAGATACATACTCCACTTGCTACAGTGTAAGATAGATGCTCCACTCTCTAAAGTGTAAGATATATGCTCCACTCTCTACAGTGTAAGATAGATGGTCCACTTTCTACAGTGTAAGATATATGCTCCACTCTCTACAGTGTAATATATATGGTCCACTCTCTACAGTGTAAGACATATGCTCCACTCTCTACAGTGTAAGATATATGGTCCACTCTCTACAGTGTAAGATATATGCTCCACTCTCTACAGTGTAAGATATATGCTCCACTCTCTACAGTGTAAGATATATGCTCCACTCTCTACAGTGTAATACATATGCTCCACTCTCTACAGTGTAAGATATATGCTCCACTCTCTACAGTGTAAGATATATGCTCCACTCTCTACAGTGTAATACATATGCTCCACTCTCTACAGTGTAATATATATGGTCCACTCTCTACAGTGTAACATATATGGTCCACTCTCTACAGTGTAATATATATGCTCCACTCTCTACAGTGTAATATATATGGTCCACTCTCTACAGTGTAATATATATGCTCCACTCTCTACAGTGTAAGATATATGGTCCACTCTCTACAGTGTAATATATATGGTCCACTCTCTACAGTGTAAGATATATGCTCCACTCTCTACAGTGTAAGATATATGGTCCACTCTCTACAGTGTAATATATATGCTCCACTCTCTACAGTGTAATACATATGCTCCACTCTCTACAGTGTAATATATATGGTCCACTCTCTACAGTGTAAGATATATGCTCCACTCTCTACAGTGTAAGATATATGCTCCACTCTCTACAGTGTAAGATATATGCTCCACTCTCTACAGTGTAAGATATATGCTCCACTCTCTACAGTGTAAGATATATGCTCCACTCTCTACAGTGTAAGATATATGCTCCACTCTCTACAGTGTAAGATATATGCTCCACTCTCTACAGTGTAAGATATATGCTCCACTCTCTACAGTGTAAGATATATGCTCCACTCTCTACAGTGTAAGATATATGGTCCACTCTCTACAGTGTAAGATATATGCTCCACTCTCTACAGTGTAAGATATATGCTCCACTCTCTACAGTGTAAGATATATGGTCCACCCCATTTGTTCCCTAGGTTTCTGCCTGTTCGTGTTTCTGTCTGGAGCATCCGGCGCAATGAAAGTCGGCCCAGACATAGCGGAAAGGTAATAATTATTTTTTCACTTCTTTAAAGTCATCGTAGCTATCTGAAAAACTACTAAACCCGTTCAATATATATATGTAAAAGTGCTGTCTCATACTACCCGCTGTTGACTGCCGTTTCTATGTTGCTTCGTATTTTCATGTGGCTGAATTTACATCCTTTTCCAAAACGTGAGCCATTTCACATGTATGTGTTTCCTCCCAAGGGCTGAGAAGATGTATGACGAGAAGCCGTCAAGAGGTCCGACTGGTGACCCAACCATGAGGTCTGTCAAGGACCTGACAATATGTCTGCGGGACGAATTCACATCACCAGTGCCCCAGCTGCAGGTGACTGCCCGACCACCGACCACTGACGTCCCAACCACGTAAGTACATGCAAAATCTCCCTCATCCTCGACATTTCTCAAAAGTATGTGTATGAACAGTGTTTATTGTTTACGCCACAACCACGCACCACGCACGCACGCACGCACGCACGCACGCACGCACGCACGCACGCACGCACGCACGCACCCAGGCATACAAACGCCAAAACCAGAGAACAACCACGCCGTCGAGGTTCGATGACACTCAATACACAAAAGTAAGTGACAGAGGCTGACCACCGAGTTCACTTAGTCGACTCCACGGGTCATCCACGGGTCATCTTGCGCCATCCACAGGTTACTGGGGGTCTATTCTAATCCGAAATACACACGGGTCTGTTCCTATACAGCCTGAAGACAACATCTAGCCCGTGGCATGATCCCCTTCCCAACCCCATTTATACCTTCAGGTATGATGGTACCCGTGGTCACATGTAAGGTAGAAACCTATAGGAACAGTCACATGTATAATACATGCTTCTCTGAACACACAGTGTTCCCGATGTTACTCACAAATACCCACATAAACAGAGAGATCGAGAGAGAGAAAAAGTGAGACACAGAGAGACAGATATAGAGTGAAAGAAAAAGAGAGAGTGCAACGTTTTACGTCGCAATAGTCTGCCACCATGGCACCATGTTAATAATCGAACTGGGTCGGGCAAACCGGCTATATAATTATCATCTCCATGTAACTAGGTAATCATCCCCACAGGATGAGCAGGATTGACATCATGTAACTAGGTAATCATCCCCGCGGGACGAGCAGGAATGACACCATGTAACTAGGTAATCCTAATCACAGGACGAGCAGGAATGACACCATGTAACTAGGTAATCATCCCCACGGGACGAGCAGGATTGACATCATGTAACTAGGTCATCATCCCCACGGGACGAGCAGGATTGACACCATGTAACTAGGTAATCCTACTCACAGGACGAGCAGGAATGACACCATGTAACCAGGTAATCATCCCCACGGGACGAGCAGGAGTGACATCATGTAACTTGGTAATCATCCCCAAAGGACGAGCAGGAATGCCACCATGTAACTAGGTAATTATCCCCACAGGACGAGCAGGATTGACACCATGTAACTAGGTAATCATCCCAACAGAACGAGCAGGAATGACACCATGTTTCTAGGTATTTATCCCCACAGGACGAGCAGGATTGACACCATGTATCTAGGTAATTATCCCCACAGGACGAGCAGGATTGACACCATGTAACTAGGTTATCAACCCCAAAGGACGAGCAGGAATGACACCATGTATCTAGGTAATTATCCCCACAGGACGAGCAGGATTGATACCATGTAACTAGGTAATCATCCCCACAGGATGAGCAGGAATGACACCATGTAACTAGGTTATCATCCCCAAAGGACGAGCAGGAATGACCCCATGTAACTAGGTAATCATCCCCAAAGGACGAGCAGGAATGACCCCATGTAACTAGGTAATCATCCCCAAAGGACGAGCAGGAATGACCCCATGTAACTAGGTAATCATACCAACAAGACGAGCAGGATTGACACCATGTAACTAGGTAATCGTCCCCACAGGACGAGCAGGATTGACACCATGATACATGCATCAACTTGCCATGTGTTATATAGACCCCATCAAAGTTTATATATATGTTTGACGTTCAGTAGTTTCAAAAGTAGTTTCTCTCTCTCTCTCTCTCTCTCTCTTTCGCTCTCTCTCTCTTTCCGTGTGTCTCTCTCTCTAACTTTCTGTGTATCTCTCTTTCTCTCACTCTCGTGGTTATAGTTTTCTCACGACTGATAGCATGTGATTGTGCTGTATCATTGCAACAACAATAGCTCTATTAATGTGCTATGACTAGGTTGTGTGTCGTGTTCCTTCCGTACTTCCGACCTTGAGGGAAAGGTTGTTCTGGCCATCACAGCAGGTCGTATAGGCAGCTTCATCACGTCCACATCATTCACCAATGTAAACTGTATACATTAACACATCTGGTATCATAACTGTCTTTCATGTTGTGCCAGCAAGGAAGTGTGTGGCAGATTTTACAATACTTCTGTTACCTTGTCAGTGTCATGCACACGTGAAGATCCGGGGTAGAATAGGTCTTCAGCAACTCATGCTTGCCGCAAAAGGTGACTATGCTTGCCGTAAGAGGCTACTCACGGGATCGGGTGGTCTGGCTCGCAGACTTGATTGATGCATGTCATCCCAATTGCGTGGATCGATGAAGGTGATGTCAATCACTGGATTGTCTGGTTCAGACTCGATTATTTACAGACCGCCGTCATACTGCTGGAAACTTGCAGTGTAATCCCGCAGTTATTTTTGTATAAGCCACGTAAACAGACACACTTGTTCACATAGTGTCAGCAAGCCTCTGCGGTTCGAACTACACTCATTAAACAAACCGGTAAGAAACAAGAGTACAATTCCGAGGAATGATATCTGTTTAAGGTTCATCGTCAGCAAAAAACAGAAGATAAGCTAGAGCTATGCTCGTTAGGAAAGATTCATGCGTCACGGTAACATGATGATGTATGAGAAACTAGGAGTTATTGGCAATTATTCGTGGTTTAGTTTTCCAAAGCTAAAACCTGAAATCTGACCTTATTTAAGAAACGTTCAACGGTAGGAACGTTTGCAGTTAATCATTATGTATATTTGACTGCATCAATGAACAAGAGTTTGGATATTGTATTGCATTGCCTCTTGTGCAGCATTTGAACATACAGTAAACTACGTTTATAATGAACACGCATTTTACGAACTGAAAATGGAAATTAGCATCGTGTATTAAACAATGTCGTGTTCCTTCCACTAGAATAATGGACGGTCGGGTAGCCTAGAGGTTAAAGCGTTCGCTCGTCACGCAGAAGACCCGGGTTCCATTCCCGACATGGGTACAATATGTGAAGCCCATTTGTGGTGTCCCCCGCCGTGATATTGCTGGAATATTGCTAAAAGTGGCGTAAAACCTCACTAACTCCACTAGAATAAAATACACGTAGCATCTTCGAATGTAGTGATGACGTAGTTTAAGAACTTCTTACACGTAATATGTTCCTCACTTCACCCAACATGTGTGTTCAATCCACAGAACCCCGGCACGATGTGTTTACGGCGACCGGAGTGGAAACGTTATCATTCAAACAGCGGCACAGCGACAACGACGATCTCAACAGCTTAAGAAAGAAATTAAAAAGTAGGTTTCTACCTTACATGTTACATTAAAACGAAGTGAACGATTTGACAATTTCCGTGAATTGCATCGTATTACAAAACATATTTATTAGGTATTGTACCTGTCCGAATAGTAACTTCAGGCATCCATTCAGGAGATTTCAGCGTGATATATATTTTAAGAACCAGTTTAATTTAGGAGAAATATTTTCATATTAGCATATTCTAGATCATCCACTGGATTAGAATTGAGAATAAAAATGATTAAAAAATATTTTATCATATAAAAATTTAATAGTATTACAATTTGTAATATTATTCATAGAAACATTATAAACCCCCTGCTATTTCAGATTTCATAACTGTATCTGTCGTACTTCGTCTGGGGACCACCCTCATCATTGCGACTTCAACATGCTAGAAACAGACTACAATCGGACTGTCCTAGAGAGTTGTCTTGGCAACAACAACATCTCAGAGAAGGCCACACTCACCTACAGATCGAAAGGTACACCACTGTAGTCATACCAAATATATTCATACAACAGTGGACGGAGGAGTAGACTGGGTAAAGATGATCGGTCGTCACGCCGGGTTCGAATCCCAATATGAATACACCGTGTGAAGGTACTTACTGTCCACTGTCGGGATATGGCTGGACAAAGTCATAAAGCGGCATAAAATAATACTCACGGCACACTGATGACTGAGTGAGTAAGGTTACCCCTCCTTCGAACAATATTTCAGTGACATCATAAGCTGATGGCGGGGGGCACAAAGTGATGCATGTCTTCGAAACCAACACCCACGAGTATGGTGCTTACAATCAGGGGAATCTGGGATTCGAACCCCCGATCATCATATGAAAGGCATAAGGGCCGCAATTCTACGCAGCGACTTGCACGGCCTTTGACATCGCCACCCGTGCATCCGCACTGATTCTAGTACACTTTTTTATATTTAGTACAATAATCGTTTCTTAATCGATGTTTCAACTGGATTATTGTTCATCTGTTTCAGAGTTTCACTGTCACTTGAGAAATAATTTCACTGTCAGATGCCATCCTAAACAGGATTCGTTGGAAGCTAGAGACACCAAGTACGTATGTGTAAACACTTTAATAATTATCTACATATTTATTGCTTTTATTACCAGTCCTACATCTTACTTGCTCCACTTTAATCACTGAGACCCGTGAAGATCCGAGGTAGAATAGGTCTTCAGCAACCCATACTTGCGTAAATGGTAACTATGCTTGTCGTAAGAGGCGACTAACAGGATTGGTTGGTCAGGCTCGCTGACCTGATCGATGTATGTCATCGAAACCTAATTGCGTGGATCGATGCCCATGATGTCAATCACTGGATTGTCTGGTCCAGACTTGATTATTTACAATCTCATTAAAATCAGATCTCACTTCTCGTAATCGCTCAACAAAGATCTGAGGAAATCCCATTACGGGTCACGTCAGAACGACCTTTCATCCGACCAATCAAAGCGTCGCTTACCAGATCATGAAAGTGACAGTCGGAATGTGTTTTCTGATCATGAAACCTCGAAAACGTTAACACGGGGTATCCCGAACGACAGTTACGGCCCGTACGACTGATTCCGTCAAGTCTCTCTCGCTTCCGTGGGATAAAAAGATTTGAACGGAGGAGGCGTTGCACGGTACGTGGGAAGCACTGCCATACAATCGTAACCATATATAAGACATTCTGGAATGTTCGTTTGTTCAGTTTTCAAAATTTTAATCGAGAACTATGTCAACATATTTTTCAAGTGTAGCCTGAAATGGAAGTCGCCAGGTTGAAACGAGTGCCGTAAAGATCGAGAAAGCTGCTTTCTCATTGGCTGATATCGACTTCTTGTTATTCGTTTCAGTGGTCGGTCAAAGTTCGCGAAAGGTCGTTCTGACGTGACCCGTAAGGGGATCTCCTCAGATCTTTGTTTAGCGATAGCGAAACTAAGATCTGATTTTAATGAGATTGGATTATTCTCAGACCGCCGTCATACTGTTCGAATATTGCTGAGTGCGGCGTTAAACAAACAAACAAACAACACACACTGACGTCGAAACCAAACTATTATTTCAGATTCCTGTCAATATTAGTGTGTTTATCAAGAGCTCTAGACAGTATTGAATGTAAGTATATTAGTCGAAAAGTAATTGTCTGCTTCCAATGCCCACATAAAATTAATATACCATATCTTGGACCTGGTCTTCTTTATGTATCTAAAAAGCGACCGACGTTTATCTATATTCCTATTCAAGGGGTTAATATATTATAATTACGCGTTGTAAAAATACACATTTGGAGGATGTTAGTGTGTCCACATTGCTCTCCTCTCCTGCAGGTGACAGGCCAGGACAGACAACCTACAGAGACAGCACGACCACCACCTCCCCCGTGGCGATGTCCCTCAAGTTCAGAGTAGTGTTTCTTGTCATGATTGTGGTGCTGGGTCTACTGCTCGGCATACTCGGGACTGTCTGTGGCGTCTTCTGCTGGAGAAGGAGAAAGAAGAGAAGGTACTGGTCAGATTCACCCCTTGATTACTAATATAATTAGAGCAGCTTCCTAATCCTCCTCCAGGTTTTATCCTTCATACATATACTACAATTAGGCGGATTCTCCTTCAGCGTCATTGAATGTCTGCGTGCGTTCGTTCGTTCATGCGTCCGTGCGTGCGTAAACTCCATCACACACCCTTATTGTGTTCCTTACTTGGTCTGTCAGAACAATATACCGTCCTCACAGAGTTCCCCAAAGGGTAAATGTTCAGGACCTGTGTCACTTTGGATGTTTCACATAAAGCTGAACTAAGTCTCACCCATGTGGATGTCCCAAATAAGCAACCATTTTGACCGTCTCTGCCACGGAACCCTGCAATCGAACAGCCAGCTGCGGAAGGGGGAGGGGGTATGGGAATTTGCTGTAAGGACGGTTCTTTTGATATTAGATATTTCATATATCTACTCTGGATATAAAATCCCAACCCAGAATATCAAATTGTCGATCACAAAGGATGCAGGGCGAACCACGTTGATACTTTGAAATTTTGATTCTGTGATTATGAGGGCGCGATACATCATTGAGTTTTTGAGTTATGCGTCTTGTATACATGTGTTACTGTATGTATCCCTGCATATTTATTGAATTAATTCAATAAGGAGTTGATGTCTTATTGTCTTATCACAGTGTTCCTACTACGTCGATAGTGAAGAGGACGGGCCCGCGTGTTCCTCTGAACACTTATGAACACAGACCCCAAGACAACGTCATATATGAAGAGCTGCCCGACACAGTGAGCACATACATTCATTTACTGCACGTTTTTTGTGTGTTTTTTTTTGTTTTTTTGTTATAATAGGTGCCAGTCTAAAATGCTACTTTTACAAATAGCGGATAAAGTATTTGTCAGAACGTTCCAACTTCTAGCAATAATCGAACAAGACAACGGGAAACTCCAAGAACGAACTCACACCGTGCATAAATATCACCTTGCGATTACCGAACACCTTATGATTAACTACTAGGTTATCCAGTTCCTCCTTAAACCTAGAGAAGACTATTTGAAGGCAAACATATCATAGTATTTCATACTGCAGTCAATGTGTAAAATCTGTAAAATGACTGCAACTTTCCATAAGGCAATTTACAAAACGCCGAAATATTTCAGTCATCTTACAATTATTTTTCCATTCTTTATATCATAATTATGAATTGCAAAAAATTGCTTCACTTTATTTCATCACCCAGTGACTAAAAATGATAGGATTAATAGAAAACAAAAGTCAATGTTTATTTTTTACATTTTTGCCTTTAATCCTTGCATAATTATTATATTGTGGTGTTTTAAAGCCCTTTTGCACTTCTTAATAACTTTTAGTCAATCTGACGGGAAAATATTTGTAAAATATACTGATAAATTTTGGCGCTTTGCCTAAGTGAAATTTCAGTCATTATACATAATATGGTACCTCATATAACTGTCTAAGATCTGCAAGCAACGTATATTATATCTTCGATATATATGAATATAAGTCATAATGTCTAATGTTGATGGCACAGTGATATACGCTGATTTTGAAAGAGAAAATATGTCAAAATCATAACAACCAATCACAAGTCCTCAGAAGATCACATGAGAATGTTAATGTTATTTGTGTCTATCGCGTCTTACCAAAAGACCTTAAAATGTGGTACTTTATAAAACAAGTCTGCTCGGAGTCAGCATATTGTGTCTGGGCTAGTAAGCCATGTTTAAAATGTATCATTGTATCTCAGTGAACAAGCACAAAACAACAGACATCTGTCTGGACTAGTTCAAAGAGCCACATGCAGACGTGCATGCACGTCACTACATAAGTAAAACAATCTTGAACCGCATAGCACCTCACCTAGCGTCGCTAAAGGTTTGAATGTAAGTTCGCTCCACAAAGACAAGAGTGAGTATGGTTTTACGCCGCTTTTAGGTGAGGTGAGGTGCATTTGGGTTTAACGCCGCATTCAAGATTATTGCACTATATAGCGACGTGTGTGTGTGTGTGTGTGTGTGTGTGTGTGTTTGTGTGTTGGTGTGTGTGTGTGTGTCTGCTTGTACTAGTCCGGACTAATGCCTATTCTATAGTGCTAGCCTCCTGAGATACCATGCCGCAGTTTAACATGAATACCACACTCAGACACAGTATACTGACTCCGAGCCGACCAGTCCTTGTTTTAGCCCCTTACTGACGAGCACCAGACAGGGTAACAACATGTACCATCTTTTAACGTCTTTTGGTATGACGCGCCGACCACGGAAGCGGTCCCGCTTTTAGCAATACTCCAGCAATATCACGGCGGGGGACACCAGAAATGGGCTCCACGCGTTGTACCCATGTAGGTAATCGAACCCAGGCCTTCGGCTTGACGAACGAACATTTTAACCACAAGGCGTCACAACCGCCTCCACAAAGGCAGGGTAAGAAAGCAATCTCGATCAAATGATCGTGAGTATCTCAAATGGTATGCCGGTATTGTTTCAGGGCGTTCCCGACCTGTTGCAACAGGGACCCACATCCGTTGTCCACTCTAAGTTCGGAGGTGACCTGTCCGAGTCCGTGTTTGTCCACTCCAACCTACGGAGCGTTACTTACAACTCCGGAGGTCAAGGTTATTACGAGGCTCTCGCCCGGCGCACTGATGGTGGAGAACCTGCCCCATCAGGAACAACCAAGCCAGTGCCCGCACCTAGAACAACTATTCAATCTCCGAGACGGCTGTCGTCGGGGAACAACGACTACCTTGATTTGGAGGAGGATTCCCAACAGACCGATGGAACACAACCCAGTGTTAGCAATCCATACTTCGTCCTTGAACCCGCAGAGACAAGCCCCGTGTTACCAGAGGCATCAAGTGTTGGTGCAGATGGGGAATATATGAAGTTAGATGACGAGAACGGTCAGAATAGTGCAACGACTGGGAAAAGAGATGTAGGGATGGATGGATGCTGTAGCCAAACACCCCCTCTGGGAGGCAATGAAGTTCATGATTACCAAAAACTCAACAAGCCCAGCCTGGATCAGATGGACTCTGTGAGTCACCGTGGGGATGACTATGAGTTTGCCTTGTCACCAGACGCAGGGTTTGACTTGGCCACGACCTACAAACAGAGCGAGGAAGACAGGAACAGTACTTGTTCACCAGACTATCAGAGATTAACAGGGCCTGCTATTCAGCAGCATCAACCAGACACAGGGGAGCCGGAGATAAAAAATGACTACTTCGTCCTGGAGGAGTAGGGCGTGTCAGTGCAGCCAATCAGTTGCAGTGTGCATACATGGAACCTGACATAGGTATGTGATATTCGAGGGGCATCTGTGCCCATCTGCCGCGGTTGCGTATGTACCCAGAGCCTCTAAATCTAACATATACAGTTAAACCTCCTTAGTCCGGACTCTGTTAATCTGGAATCTCAACCTTCCAGACGATTACGACTAGGAACACTTACATGTATATAAAGTGATTTTAATCCGATACCTAATCCGCAAATGTGTTAATCCGACCGACTTCAGTTGAATAGCTACGTACGGAGTAATAGTGTTTCACTGTACATGATCGTGAGGTTTTCATTAGCTATTGTCTGTGGTTGTCAGACAAATCGTCACTGGGTATTCTTTTGCCATTGTTTCCATATCAATGTATTAGTCATAGTTAAACCATTGCTCCTTTGTCTTTGACCGTGGTCTGACTAAACACTACTTGGCTTGGACGGAACGTCTTTTTCTCCTTATCATTTATCTTGATGATAGAACAATTTCATGAAAAACGTTTGTCGTCAGCGGAATTCGAACCCGTCTTTTGCCGCGGCGACTTGAAAGAAATTGTTTTAAATCAACAACAAAATATTTATTTTCATCAGGACTAATTGCTTGTCCATTTATGAACTGCGAAATATGTTTTATGCAATTGTATACAGTATGTTACTTTATGCATTCTAATATTTGTACAGTACTTGTTATTTGATTGTTTTTTGTTCCACGAAACGAACAGATAGAAACAAAATAACTATTGTCTTGATCAGGGCTATGTTTGCCCATGAACGTGGGCAAGTAATATTTAGGTGGTTCATTAATGTGCTCGAGTTGGTCCAAAATGAATGGTATACTTGCTCCATGACATGCAGTATGTCTCGAAACTGAACTCTGCCCTGTATCTTTATTTACTGAAGCCACTGCTCGGTACATGTTGACATATGTTGTATATTTGTATATAGTGCGGTATATATTGATGTAACAATGATGTACCTCTAATGCCGCTGACAGCGGCCTGAGTGCACGTATACAAGCGTCGTTCAAACACAATGTAAATATTGTATTTTGTTGAAGTAAGTAAGCTAATCTTTTTGTTTCTGGAACATATTGTATGTTTATTTATAAATCTCATCATTTGTCCATTATCAATGTTTGTGTATAAGTTCATTTTAGTTCCCACCATCATATTGTGTGATTGATGTAAATATACAGTCAATATTTTGACTGTTATTATTGTGTCATATATTCCGCGGTTTGTGCGTGTTTGTCTGTCTGTGAGCGCGTGAGTGTATACTGTCCGCCGTCATCGTGTCCTCTTGGGTTATGAATTGATTATGATACTGTCCGTTATGTGCGTGCGTGTGTCTGTGCGTGCGTGCGTACGTGTGTATATGTGTGTGTGTGTGTGTGTGTGTGTGTGTGTGTGTGTGTGTGTGTGTGTGTGTGTGTGTGTGTGTGTGTGTGTGTGTGTGTGTGTGTGTGTGTGTGTGTGTGTGTGTCTCATCAGGCCATAACTGAATAACGGACATATATATACTGAGCCGCAAAAGTAACATTGCATGGAAAGTTGTCATTTAAATATCTGGGTACTTTTTGACAAAGTTTCTAAAATTTAACATTATCTTGTCTGGAAAAATAAAATTTGATGCTAAAAAACAAAGCAGACGACAATAAAACCGATCGTCCAAACGCATCACGGCAACGGCCATGGTAACCCGATGCACGTGAGGTCCGTGCAAATTTGAAATGCACATGCGTTCCCCCATTTCTTGCCCTATAAAAATCCACCCAGATCGGATAACATTCATTCGTTATTGAATTGCTACCATATACAAAGATTGACAAGAAATTAGCGATACCAAGCCCTTGGACGATTGCGAGATGGACAAACCGCCCGGCAAGTAGCCAATGCATTTCAAGTCAATGTAAGTACCATATACAGGCTCCAGCAACGGTACCAGACCACCAAAACTAAAGAAGACCGACCACTGTCACCGCCGGACGTCAGGATCGTCAGATTGTGCGACAGCATCTTCAAGATCGCTTTGTTACTGCTGCGGAAACTGCTCGACAGACCATGGGGACACACAGGCGACACATTAGTGCGGACAACGTGCGTCGACGATTGACGAACAGACACCTTCACTGTCACAGGCCACACCGAGGACCCATTATGACAACATGTCATCGCCGGGACCATCAAAAGTGGGCAACACAGCACCAGCATTGGCGCCACCAGCAGTGGAGAAGAGTCATCTTCTCAGTCAAGCCGTTACTGTATCTCAACAGCAGATGGCAGAGGGAGAGTCTGGCAACACCGTGGGGAACGTTATTCGGATGTTTGTGTTGTTGAGAGCGACTCGTGGAGTGGTCCGAGCATCATGGTGTTGGGTGGCATTGGTCTTGCATAGAGGGTAGGCCCTATGGTCTTTCAGAACATCGGTCCAGGGAGAGGCAATGGCGTCACAGCAGCTCTGTACATTGATCAAGTATTGAGACCACACGCCATGCCTCATTTGGCATGTCGACGCAACCATGAGTTTCAATATGGTAACGCCGGTGCCCAAACTGCGAGAGCAACAAGAGACTTCCTCCAACAGAATGGCCTCAGAACCACGCAGTGGCCTGCCTTCAGTCCTGATTTAAATCCCATTGAGCACCCGTGGGACGAGATTCAAAGACGGCTGAATGACGTCCGACCAAGGCCGACAACTGCAGCTGAACTGCGTCAAGCGTTCCTCAGAGCGGGCTCAAGTGCCTATGGCCTTCATCAACTGCCTCATCAATTCCATGTATCAACGTTGCACGGCAGTCATCAATGCACATAGCGGACACACGAGATACTGACTTGTGATGCCATTTCCTCAGAGACTATTGTTGTGTTTCACTTTAAGAACATTTGACACTTTAATTTCAACCTTGATTATCACTTTTTTCCATGTTTCATGTTTTTTATATGTCTCAAAGTATGTTTAGAGTGTTTGGACAAATAAGGTTTCTCATATATCTATCCATGGTGATATTTGTTTTGTGTTTAAGTATATATCATACTGCCCACAAATATCGTATAGATATCAAATTAATATATTTTTCATCATATTGTCCCTGTATATATATCATACTGTCCACAAATAGCGTATATATGAAGTTAATATATTTCTCATCATATTGTCTTTGTATTTATATGATACTGCCCACAAATATCGTATAGATTAAATTACTACATTTCACATTCTATTGTCCGCCATTGCTGTGTGTGTATATCACTCATGACACTGACAGGTCCACTGGACGTATTCCGCCACCAACATACACACCACTGCACATCGGGTAGCACTGGGGCAGTCATGTTGATCACGGGCTACTGTGTACGTGAACCAGAGAATAACCTTTGATTTGTAGCAAAGACAGATATAATCACTCTGAGGGTGGACTTTCGGAAATGTCCACATGATCTCTCGCCATATTTGGGCACTGTGTACACGCCTACTGGAGATGCTGACAATTTGAGAGCTATCAATAGATTCCAGTATCTGAAACAATCACTACTGTTAGCATACAGTGACATGACCGTCAAGATATTCGGAATCAGCGTCAGTGTAATAAATGACAACGTATTTTTCATGTAATGCGTTGGTGGTAGTTTCAGCAGTTCCTGATTAGTGGAGGGAATGAAGGGATATTGACAGACGGGACTTAAATTGTTTGATAGATCTATACGAAACGTCGCTATCACAGTATTATAGAGAAGTTGTTATCCAGAATGGTTTGTCTACTTTGTCAGACGTGACATTAAACATTCTTCATTCTAACAAAAAGTATGTAAATATTGATGAACATCACATCTTAAACACCATTGTATATCATATACTGGTAAACATTTGTAAAAAGGCATTGCTGCGTTTTATAGAAACTAAAGTTTGATCGATACATTGTTCAAAACAAATTACTATCGTGCATTTACCTTCATTATCAACGCAAACAAAGGGGGTAGCAGTTTAGCGATAATTGAACTATTGACAGGTTGAGCAGTAACGTGACAGCGAGTTGGAACAGCTGAGTGACCCTTGTCGAGAAATTTAAACAACGCTCTAGTATGATAAACAAAAAAAAGTTTTCTCGCGTTTTTTAATTTCGTAACTGTTTTTCAGTCTTCAATTTCTAACTGTTTCAAACAAAACATTATGTATTATTTAGTAAGGAAATACTTTCAGACAGGTTTATCAACACAGACCTCCCAGGAGTGTGATACCTCTCTCCGGTTGTACATATAAATTAATCAGCAGAAATCGAGCAGTTTGAGAAATAAATGAGTTAAAGGAACATTTGATTACGATGATTAAAGAAAAGCGTTGATCGTGAGTACTGGACTCGTGTGAGAACGTAGACATCTGCAAGTGCTTGACCCCTTTATATTCCTCAAATTTGTCAATGGAAACAGATCCATGTATATTTCACTAACTTGACACGGCGAAAATATTTCTCCACAGAATCAAGTTTTTTGTGATAATACCATAATGACACAATGTCACAACAACATACTTCACTATGACGTTATTCATTTTATGTGACGCTCGGAACTTATCAACGCATCACCAACTGCATCACTACCACACCAGACAACTGCATCACTACCATACCAGACAACTGAAACACTCTCACGTCAGACAACTGCAGCACTCTCACACCGCACAACTGCATCACTACCTCACCAGACAACTCCATCACTACCACACCAGACAACTGCATCACCACCACACCAGACAACTGCATCGCTCTCACACCAGACAACTGCACCACTACCACACCAGACAACTGAATCACTCTAACGTCAGAAAACTGCATCACTCTTACACCAGACAACTGCATCACTCTCACACCGGATAACCGCATCACTACCACACCATACAACTGCATCACTCTCACACCAGACAAATGCATCACTACCACAAAGGACAACTGCATCACTCTCAACCCAGAAAACTGCATCACTACCACACAGGAAAACTGCATCACTACCACACAGGACAACTGCATTACTCTCACACCGGACAACTGCATCACTACCACACCAGACAACTGCATCACTACCACACGAGACAACTGAATCACTACCACACCAGACAACTTAATCACTACCACACCAGACAACTTAATCACTACCACACCAGACAACTGAAACACTCTCACGTCAGACAACTGCATTACTACCACACCAGACAACTGCATCACTACCACACAGGACAACTGCATTTCACACCGGACAACTGCATCACTACCACACCAGACAACTGCATCACTACCACACTAGACAACTGCATCACTCTCACACCGGATAACCGCATCACTACCACACCATACAACTGCATCACTCTCACACCAGACAACTGCACCACTACCACACCAGACAACTGCACCACTACCACACGAGACAACTGATTCACTACAACACCAGACAACTTAATCACTACCACACCAGACAACTGCTTCACTGCCACGCCAGACAACTGAAACACTCTCACGTCAGACAACTGCATTACTACCACACGGGACAACTGCATCACTCTCACACCAGACAACTGAGCCACTACCACAAAGGACAACTGCATTACTACCACACGGGACAACTGCATCACTACCACACCAGACAACTGCATCACTCTCACACCGGATAACCGCATCACTACCACACCATACAACTGCATCAATACCACACCAGACAACTGCATCACTACCACACGAGACAACTGAATCACTACCACACCAGACAACTTAATCACTACCACACGGGACAACTTAATCACTACCACACCAGACAACTGAAACACTCTCACGTCAGACAACTGCATTACTACCACACCAGACAACAGCACCACTACCACACAGGACAACTGCATTTCACACCGGACAACTGCATCACTACCACACCAGACAACTGTACCACTACCACACAGGACAACTGCATTTCACACCGGACAACTGCATCACTACCACACCAGACAACTGCATCACTACCACACCGGATAACCGCATCACTACCACACCATACAACTGCATCACTCTCACACCAGACAACTGCACCACTACCACACCAGACAACTGCACCACTACCACACGAGACAACTGAATCACTACCACACCAGACAACTTATCACTACCACACAAGCCAACTGATTCACTGCCACACCAGACAACTGAAACACTCTCACGTCAGACAACTG